GATCTTCCCTGAAGCTAACAGAAGAAGAATTGAGCCTTAAAACCTTCTGAATTGATCTGACCAAGTCCATTTATAGAGCTCTGCAACTGAACTTCAATAGGTAAATTTCTCCATCAATCCTTCAAACTTTAATATCATTGTGAAGCTTTCATTGCCCTTGTTCTAGTCGCAATACTTTCTTTTAACTGGAAACACGTTTTGGCCATGAATTTTCAAATTCATTTTTAAAACTTTCCTTCTAAATTGCTTGAGCTACAGTTTATATAAATTTTTCGCGAAGGTGTGGTTGTCTTCGTCTTGATGAGACGAAGCGAATGGTACCAGTCTCGTGCTCTAATTTTACAGTTTGAGCAAGCTCGATTTGAGACTGGCTGGAGGTTGAAGGTGACCAACGTGTCATCCTTCAACCAATGAAACAGTGCCATTTGGAATTTTTGAATATCTAATTTAATTAATGATCATGTGTGTTATTCACTAATGACCATGATATGCACAACGCGTCTGATCCATTGGATTAGCTTATTAACGCGTTTTGACTCTCATCCATTAGTCCACATTTTTTTGACTTTATTTTATTTTCTGGTTTTTATATTTAAATTATTTTAAACTTCAAAAAATCATAAAAAAATCATTTTTAATCCAAAAAATCTGAAAAAATTATGAAAAATATTTTTGATTTTTCTCTTTCTGATTTTTATTTTTATACAATTTTATTTTGTGCTTTGATATTTTTTATAAATTTTCATTTTATTTGGATTGTTTTAAATGTTTAAAAATACTTTTATGCATTTTTAAATTCTAAAAAAAAAAAATGAAATGATCCAATGATATTGTGACAAATATTGGTGACCTCATTTATTTTTTATTTCTGACTTTATTATTTTTTATCATTTTTGGTTTATTTTACTCATTTGTTTTAATTTTAAAAATAGTTTATGACTTTAAAAAAATACCAAAAATTTTATAAAAATATTTGAGTCTATTTCTGATTTTTCTATTACCTTATTTCTTTTTTATGAATCAATTTGAATATAGTTAATATTTTTTTCCTTTATTTTCATTTTTATTCATTTTTAAACCCTTTTCAATATATATATATATATATATATATATATATATATATATATATATATATATATATATATATATATATATATATATATATATATATATATATATATATATATATATATATATATATATATATATATATATATATATATATATTAAATGTAATATTTTTTTGTGATCATTTTCTGGCTGATCTTGGGTTGAATTTTTGATCATGAACTTTGTTAACATCATTGGATCCATGGTGTTAAGTCTAACTCCATAAAAATGGATGAATAATTTTAATAATAGTTTGATTAAGTTTTAATTCAAATGTGGTTTATATATTCTTTCCCATCCTTCTTCATCTCATCCCTTTCTTATTGCACTAAGTGTTATAGGAGCGTGATCTCTATATCATATCTCAAAATAAATGGTGCATAGATTGCTATTGACCGGCCTCAAAATATGTGCGACTTCTATATAAGTCCACTTACGATTGCTTAACATAGCGTTACATTTTGTCCCGATTAGAGAAAATGATCATTCGTGGCCCAAACCTATGATTGCAAGCCCAAGATGTTAATTTGAACTCTTTCATCCAATAACCTTGAGATTCATTGTGTAGTTGCTTTGGTTCTACCAATATTCTGATGGATCTTCATTAATTTTGGTCAACGCGGATCACTTAAACATCATTGATCATTATATGTTACATTGAGGATTCTTAAATGGATGATATACTTGACATAAAGCAAATGCAACTTGTTGTGTGAAGGCTTTAGTTCAACCAATCCTCTAATGAGTTCCAAATGCAAGTTTCAAGATGGTCATTCAACTAACCACTAATTTCTAACAATTGACTTTATTTTATGCTCTTTACTTTATGCACCATTTACTTTAGCATTTACATTTCATGCTATTTTTCATCTTTGCTCACTTGAGCCCCTTTATATTCTTGTCATTTTTTATTTTGCTCACTTGAGCTTTTCTTTTCTTTTTGAAGATACTTAATAATCAACATGAACCATAAAAAACTTTAATGATACTTGGACTATTTGGTTACTATCCTTGACATTATGGAGTATTGGACTTCTTGGACTTAGGATTAGAAACCTTGGCCTATGTTGGAGACCTTGTGACCTTAATTGATATTTTGTCTGGAGTTCTTGAGGTTTACCTCAAGACATTGGTTTTTTTTTTTGTGCAGGTTATTGTAATTACATACTTTGTTTGTAATTTAGAATTCACTCGTATACAACCGTTACTCTGCCCAATTTTTGTGAAGACTTAATATACTTGAAGTTTGGTTCTCTCAAGAGGTCTAGTATCTTTGCTTGCTTGGTTTTAATCTAAAGAATGAGAATTCTATCTTGACTCATAATGTCAAGTATTGGCTTCTTGTTAGTTAGATGATTCTTCTCCTTAGCTTTTACCTCCTTTTGAAAACTCTTCTTGTTTTTTAAACTTGAACCACTTTCATAACAAACTTGGACCTAGGTCCATGCATTTTCAAAACCTTTTCATAAATAAACTTCAATCAACTTAATAATACCATGACATTTTTTTGTGAGAAGACTAAAAGTCAATCAATCTCATTTCAAACCATTTTGCCACTTTGGCTTTTTATTTTAAAATCTTTCTCAAAAGATTAGACTCTTGCCAATCCTTGTAGTGATGCAAACAACTATACTTCTACAATATGTAGTGAAGAGAGATATTTTCCACTTGGTTGTTGAGTGAGGAATTATTGATTTTAAAATCCAAGTCATATCCTCCACTTTTAGATGATGCAAATTCTCCTTTCTCATGATTGTGGGTAGTAAGTATGTTTTCCATACGAAAAATGACGATGATGTCTTATCTCATAAGATTAACCAACACACTTGTATTTTAAAATTTTAAAAAGGTGAACTACGTGTACCCTGATCTCCTATTGCACGAAAGGTGGTACATAGGCACTAAAGGTTCGCAACCGCGGAGGGTGCAAAAATCATAAAAAAATAATTCTTTTCTTACCTCCACCATCTATTTTTATACAACATTTTATAGCCAAAATATACAGATTTTACTAAGAGGTTCATGCAGAGTACCGTAGATGTTTAGGGTGTTAATACCTTCCTTTGCATAACCAACCCCCTTACCTAGAATCTTTCCCCCTCTTTTTGGGTTACTCTTTCTTTTCCCATTCCTTTGAAAACAATAAAGCGCGGTGACGATTTTTATTTTGATCTGTGTAAGTCTAGTCAATCCAATGGCTTAGTCTTAAACATTTCTACCGCTACAAAAAAAATAGCGACTTCACTGGGGAACATCATACTGACTTCACTAGAGGAGATAACGCCTCATCATCGAGACATCAACTAGGGACCTCGTGCTGACTTTATTGGTGAGGCCAGCACCACATCGAAGAGGGGACACCAAGATAGGTTCTTCAATATTGAGAGTAAGTATTGCACCAACTTCTCTGGGGAAAAAGTATGAAACCTCATGGGGATAACAACTTGGGGAGTTAAGAAGTCAAACATTACATCAAGAAATCAATCTTATGGGGATTTTAAATTAAACCCAACACTTGGCGGGTGAAAACCCAACAAGTTGATAGAAAGTAAAAGCAGAAAAGATAAACCTAACCCTCTTACACGACTTTGGGGAAGTTACATAATAGAAAGCGGAAAGTAAAAACCATAAGCTATTATAACCCGAAAAATAGTTACATAATAATGAAAAAGGAAAGCGAGAAATCTAAGCTATTATAAAATTGCGAATCCTATACACTTTATCTATGAAAATAAAATTGAAATAGAGGAAAGAAGAAATGTTTTTGATGATTTTTATGGAAATTTTTTTTTTAATGATGATTAAAAGAAACTAATTAATTTTAATTAACAAAAATACTTGATTAATTAAATTAATAATAAAAAAGGTTAATGATGAAAAACCTAAAAATTAATTAATTTTATTTATGAAAAAAGTTAATTAAAAAAGGTTAATTAAAAGAAACTAAAACCTAATTAGGGTTTGTAAAAAGGTTTGTGGTTAAGTGAACTTAGGGTTGGAAAGAAATTAAGGAAAAAACAAGGTTAAAAAACAAAACAAAACAAACTGCCTGGGACGGGTGTTGAACCCATGCCTTTTGCCTTTCCACCTATAGGCCTTGCCATTGCGTCAGGCGCGCACATGTGTTGGGAGAATAGGATCAGCGCGCTATGTAGTAAACCTGCATGAATTAGATAATTATGAAAAAATAAGTGTCAAAAGTAGGGATCAAACCCACACCTTATTATACAAATTCCTTTACGCACGCTCGCTTGCCACTAGGGTGACTATACATCCAGTTGTCATACCCCAAATTTGTCATACCTTTTACTTTTTTTTGGCTTAGACTTCGTATTTCATCTACATCATCTTCACTAGTTCATTTGCATATCATGCATTGCATTGAATAAGGTACTTTGGTTCAAGAAGCAGTATTTGTACAAGACTAGGGTTTCATGTTGGTTTTGAGGTCCCTTCAATAGTTAAAGGCAGTTTCATCTAGTTCTTGAGCGGTGGACTATGTGGAATCAAGTTTTAAAGTTTGGTTATCATGAGTTTCTTATTCATCCATGTACGAGGCCATTTCTCATTCAAATTCATCAAGATCTTGGATTAGGGTTTATTTCCCTAGGTGTGATTTAAAATCAGGGTTTTCTCCTCAGTTATCATCTCCTAAGTGGCTCAGTCAGAAATTAGGGTTTCCTTATGCTTAGGGGCTTTTATTTCACTCAGGTGTGATTCATTTAGTTTCTACATCATTCATGTCGTCGGAGCTAGGGTTTTGATGCTTTGGTTATCCTGAGCATTCTTTGCTTCCTATTTCAACTTCCATTTTCCTCTAGAGACTTCTCTAAAAGCGATATTCAAGTGTAGCCTTGGAATCAAGACTTTACTTGGTTGGAGTCCATCAAATGGGAAATCGTTTGTCAAAGCATGATTGTCTGTATATTGAGGTTTCTCTTAAGAATTATGGATCATCAATTCAAGATTTCTTGTTTTTATGGTACTTTTGAGAAGAATGTGAATTCATCAGTTGCTCCAAGAATAAGGCATAGAGAATTGGAAATTCAAGCAAGTAAAACTATCTCAGACTCATATCATCATCATGAGCTATATTGGCTTCTTCATCATCTTTTTATTTGTTTTTCCTCATTCCTTGTTGTACCAACACTCAATTTCAAAGTGACCATAACAATTATAACATTGCATATTGCTTTTGTCAAACTCTCTCTTTTTGGTATGATTCCTTTTTTAGCCTCATTCTCTCTTAGAGATTCAAATTTTTCTTCATACTTTTGTCTAGCAACATTGGACCAGTTTGAATTCTTAAATTCTCATTTTCCTTTCTTCTTGAAGTTCCTTTCATTTCCATTCTTTTGCATCACCTGTGCATGCAATGCTTGTTGGCTTTCTCTTTCAGTGCCTCGATCAATTACCTTTAGTTCATGTTCTTGTAATAAACTTTATAGACCCTCGATCTTTGTTTTCTCGAGATCCTTGGATTCTCGTATTGCAACAACAATGAAATAAAATCTTGATGTCAAGGATCTCATTACCTTTTTCACCACTTGCTGATCAGTGATACCTTCACCACAAGCATTCATCTAATTCACCAAAGCAGTCAACTTTGATAAATAATCATTGATTTTATAATTCTTTTCCATTTTCATAAGCTCGTATCTTCTCCTTAGGGAATGTAGATTCAATTGTTTCACCTTTTCTCCACCATCATGATAATTTACTAACACATCCCATGTTTCTTTCGATTTGGTAGCTTTTGAGATCTTCTCAAATTGGCAAGAATCCACATTCTACTAAATGCAGAATAATGCCTTGTAGTCTTTCTTTCTTGGTTCTTTGAAAGTGGTTCTTTGTGTATATGTAGGATCTTCACCTAATTCTTCATAGCCATCATGCACAATTTCAAGAAAATCGTGTGCTCCAAATAATAATTTCATAAGACACTCCATCTTTCCCAATTGCTTCATCAAGAATCATAATATTGCATGAAAAATCACCATTTACATTCATATTGTTTTTGCTGTAAGAAAATCTATAATTTACTCTTCTCTCAATGTTTCCCAAGTGTTTCCCTCACAAAATCACTCGCATCTCTTTATGAATCAACACTAACCCTTTGATGTTGAGCATCTAGGCCCTATACGCCAATTAAAGGCGCAACAAAGTTGCTATTGACAATACAAGTAACACAAAAAAAATTAGAAAATATAAAACCAGAGAATGAAGTTTGAGTCAAAGTAATGACTTAAAACTCTCATACATTAATTTGAATAGAAGACAACATTAAGCTATACTATAGTTACGTGACTTATGTGTTAAGTAACAAATTTTTAACCATCAAAGTGACTAACTAACTTTTTAAGTCATTTTAAATTATTACAACACTCCCTAAGAGCATTACCAACCATATCCTCCACTAGATTAAACTATCCACTACACTTTATACACGCTTCACTCCTTAAAGTGTATTATTGACTAGGGGTGTTCAAATCCAAACCAATCCAAATACAAAACCGAAAATCGATCCGAAAAACCAAAAACTGCAAAAAACCAAAATTTATTGGATGTGTTTGGATGTTATTTTGTGAAAACCGATCGGTTCGGATCGGATTTCGGATTAATTTTTCAAAACCGATCCAAACCAAACCAAACCGCATACATATTTTTTTATACTTATTTACTTTTTATTAGCATGATATGCTATGTGAAGTTATTATTAGATGATAATAATTTTTTTAATAATAGTTATTAGCTTGGTATAATTTATTTATTTTTATTATTTCAATCATAATCAACCACTCTCATTTTGTAATATTAACTTTTAATATACTATATGTTATATATTATATCAAATCTGTGATTTATTAGTAGTTTTATAATATTAATAAAAATATAATGTGTAATTTGGATATCCAAAAACCGATCCAAATTAAACCGCATAAAATTAGATCGGATCGGATTGGATTTTTTTAATATATCATCCAAAACCAAACCGAACCGCAAGTAAATTTATTTTTGGATCGGATGATTTTGTATCTTAAAACCGATTCAAACCGAACCGCGAACACCCCTATTATTGACATGAAACCCAATATAACTTCATTCATCCACCAATCACTTTATACTCATATTTTCTAAATATTATATAACATTTTTGTGACTCTAAATTATTCTCTCAACGCAACTTATCTGTCACTCAGATTTATAAATATCTTAAAAATTTGCTTCTTTATTCTAAAAATTTATTTATTATTATTTTTTATTGCTTAGTTCATGAAAAAATATCAGTTTTTTTTATCAATGAGTAAAAGTTGAAAATTTTAAATTTAATAATTATATATTAATAATATAAAATAGTTTTATACTATCGTCTAATAAAAATTTATCGTTCTAACTATGTCAAATACTAATTTAAAAATGTCAAATATTAATTTAAAAATTACAATTTAATTTAACAGAATATACGACATTGATTTGTTGACCGTCTAAAGTTAATTTATATAATTAGTGTATATTCTATTTTCTCAAATTGTTTTACTTCAAGTTAATTAAAAGGATAAATTTAAATTTGGGTTGGGAATATAAGTACATTAGGTTCAAATTTAACATTGTGCAAATTTAAGCCCAATAAAATCTTAATTAATATTCTATTCCAAATCTCACTCTCTTTACTTTTTATTCTATTCTACCAGAATAAATAAAAAATTCTCGTCTTCTTCATAATTCGATTTTCAACTATCAAACCAGAAAACCCGATCTATCTGATTCCGTGAAGTTTCAGCTATGGCGTTCATGAAGGGAAAAGCATTGGTCACCAAAGTCGCAGCGCTGGCGAGATACGGTGTTCTACCGGGAGCCATGGTGGCGGCGCTCGTCTACTCTCCTCCTAATTACGCTGACAAACACGCCTCCGCCACCGGGAATTAGGTAAATCATTTCTTCAATAACGCATTCTTTTTGTGAAATGACTTTGTTGTATAGTTCATGTTTGATTGAATCACCGATTTAGTTTATGAAATGAATAATTATCGAATTTGGTTATGAAATTGTAAGATCGTGTCAAGTTAATAGTGATTTTAGGATTGTTTTGAATTAACGGCGGCGATCGCGTGAAAGCTTTCATGATTTCAATCGGTACAGGTGTTGCGACACTGATTGCGGTCGTCACGGTATGAATTAACCATAAAAACGGTGAATAATAGTATTGGTATCGGCACCTGCACATAGTGTTTTGTCGCTGCCGGTTTTGCAGTCGCAGACTGTTTTTTAAACCTTTTTACAATGGTGAAGAATATCATTTTAAGATGTAGTATTGAATTGATGCATCTAAATTGATGTGTTTGAAGCCTTTAATTTGGTTGCATGTTGTATTTAGGGAAGAATTTGAGGGTTTCTAGTTCTATAACTTTATGTTTTCCGTGATTCTCTTCATGTCTTTACTGTTTTTATCATTCAATTGGCAGAAACGTGGGATTGTACTTATATGGTATAAGGTTGTTTTTATTCATTTCTCTTCTTCTCACCAAGTGCTATCCATACTTCTCTTAAACTCATTGGTTCTTAATCTTGCATACTTTGTATGTTCATTCATCCACTTCCCTCGACCCATTTTGATTTGCTTTTGTCGGCACTCGTCTGTCTCACATTCTCCCGATCAAATTTTAATCTCCATGTATAGAAGAAGTATTGGGTCATTGGATTGCCTGAATTGAGATGCTTAGAAACAACTTGTGTTTTTAAGGGCCTGTTTGATTTTTGTTTCTTTTATCAATATTTGTTGTCTCTCTTTTGATACCCACCCCTATGAACAGCAGTTACTTCCATCAGCCATAGCGGATTGTGGTGACAGATTTTTAGACAACCTCCATGGCCAATTTCTGAAGGATGACGGCACGGTGATATTCTGGCAGATTTTTAGCTGTCAGCCATCTGCCATAAATAACACTGCCTTCCTTAAATATGAAGGCCAATATCTTTACCTCTTGTTTGATATTTTGGATCTCATTTTTGCCCCCTTAGCTAGACACGTAGCAGAGCCGTTTTTATCTAATTTAGGTCATTATTCTTTCTAAAAAGCTTTCTTGTACTCATCATTTGGAATCCCATCTTCAAGGTTCACATCAAAATGCCCTTTTGATCATGCTTTTAATTATTTCTGACATTGTTAGAACTTCGTGCAAGCTAGCCTCATATTACTTAGTAAATCCTTCAAAAATTGAAGAATGCCATCCAAACTGTCAAGTTTCTCACTCATTTCTCCAAAATCTCACATCTGATCCTCATGGTGTAATTGGAACTCTGCATCCTGGCATTCATGTCTTCCATGTTTCACTAGTCTTTCCACTCGAGTCCATTATTGTCAAAGGCATTCCGTGGGTCCAACCAAATTGTTGGACTCTAGAACTAAACAAAAAATTCTTGATTTATTATCGATGAAACATTGACATAGAGTAGACACATACACTTACACATAGATGTCAGTAGTAATTTGGAAAAATAGAAGTGACTAAATGTAAATGTGTCAATGTCGGGTTGGGTCGGTGTTCAATAACAACATTTGTTGGATATTGAACACACCTTCAATCTGAAGCATCAATTTCAATGCTACAAAGTTTATTAATGATTACTCTGATAGAATTTGGGCATAGGCCAAAATTTACTACAAAACTAACCAAAGAGGGTTTCACCCCTAACAAGGAATCTCCTCCTTCCACTAAATTGACAAAAAGAAAGCCTCCAATCTGATAACTTGTATACAGCTTACCCTATTAATACTATCCAATATATGCAAAAATACATTACCTCCTAAATTGTAACTGCAACTTTATATTACTCGGGAATACATGTGCTTGCTACTGTTCTAAACAATCACCCCTTTAAATTTCATTGTTAGTGACTCACAAAGCAATATGGGCAATATATTGTTTTTACCAGAAATACCATCAGCATAGTTGTATCTTATTTTGTGACTATTTTAATATTAGGTGAAATAACAGATTAATTTGCTGTATGGAACAGGTGCACGAGGGTTACATGAAGAAAATCAGCAATATGAGAGTCCTTTAATGCAGCATGTTCTGAAATAAATTGGGTGATTAGTTTTGTTTTAGAAATATTTAGATTATGACTGTTTTGGGGTGACAATTTGTTACATCTGAATTTTGTGGATTCGTCAACTCTTTTCTCTCTAGCATTACTGAAAATAATAACAATGAATGCCCCTCACATTTGTAAAATAGTTTGAATGAATGCCCCTCACTGAAAATATATAGCACAGAATATTTTTCATATAAAAAGATTCAATCATGCAGGGTCGTGTGGTACAAACTATTGTGTTTGGATTGACAGTAGTCAAAATTGATTTTGATTGAATTGAGTTTTGTATAATTGGTTTTAATAAAATTGATTTATGTTTGAATACATTTATGTAAAAGTGAGTTGAGCAATAAACTTTGATATAAAAATTACGTTTAAATTGAGAAGCTATAAGTTCTAGAAGTAGAATCAATTCTAAACACCAAAAAACAAGAGAATGAGAGGATTGTATGATTCAAAAATTTTAATTAGGATGAATTAGAATTTTATTTTGATTGCATTTTTATTTGAATTTAATTGGAATATGCATCGATAGTGTAAATAAATTGTCAGTGAATAGTAACCGTTAAACTTTAAATTAGATTTGACTTTTATTTTAATTATTAATAAAATGATATTTATTTTAAATCAGTGATTGTGATATATTGATAGTGTAAATTTTTTTACATTGATAATGTATCACAATTAATCTCTTTTTATTTTTACGATGAACTTAAATTTAAAATTGTAGTATTAGTAATTGATTGCAAACTCTCGTTATTTTGAATATGTAGTATGAATTTAATGAACTTAAATTTATAATTATTTTATTAATTAAAATTTGATAGTATGAGTAGAGAAATAATGAGGGTATGATGGTCCTTGCATGGGGTTTAGTGAGGATAAGATAGGAATATCATATTAAGGGTCTTAAGGGGTAAATAGGACTTAAGAAAAAGTTGGGATTTGTTTTCTCGTTGTTACGATCGTGAAAAATTGTGAGAAACGGAGAACCGGAGGAAGAAAGGAAAACTAGGGCTTGAGGAAGACTTCCATGGTAGAAGAGGAGAAAAGCATAATCTTAGGAACCATCAATCTAACATAAAGGCGGGATTTCAACTTTCTAAGGGATAGTGTAATTATAGGTATGTGGGAATTTGATTGTATGGTTTTTGTGTATGATTGTTCATGAATTGGTGGTTTATGTATGTTGAATCTAAGTGATGAAATTATGAATAAAATTGCAATGATATTGACTAAATTGATGTCATATGAATGAAGTTGATTGAGTGGTGATGTTTGGGTGTAATTGCTATAACAATGATTTTTGATTTTTGGTGAAAATTTGGGTTTTGAATGTGTATGTGATATTATGAATGTTGATGATGATTTTGTGAATAAACCCGTTAAAATTGATGAGATTGTGATTAATCTATGAATGGGAAGGTTGAGTAATGTCTATGTTCAAATTATACAAGTGAGAAAAAAATTTTGGTGTCAAAAAGATGATTTTTGGAGAAAATTTTGCAGTAGAAAAATTGATGATTTTTGGCTCTGCTACAGTAGGTACCCGGGTAACCAGTTATGGTAACCGGTTACCCACTGAAACAGTAGCTATGATTTTCAAAATTGTACGTGGTAACCGGTTACCATAATTGGGTATCCGGGCATCCTACTGAAACTGACAGATTTTTAGAAAATTTTGAAAATCCATAACTTTGTGATTGGGTGTCCGTTTGACGCACCGTTTAAATTGTTGGAAACCTCAGAACGTTATCTATCCTATAAAAATGAATTCAAAAACGGTAGATACTTATTTTATGGGGTTAGGTCATTTTGTGTGAATTTCTAATTGTATGTATTAACGCGATTATGCAGATTTGTTGTTTGTGAGAGGTTTAATGGAGTACATGATAATTATATGTATACATGCTTAGTGTAACACCCCATTTCTATCCGGCAGATAATAAGAAAATTAGAGTTCAACATAAATAGGATGCTATATTTTAAACTTAAAATCAAACTTCATTTAATCACATATAAAACAGATACATAACACTTAATTCGGATGAACTGATAACAACATGATTTATTCTTTAAAATCAAATAACTTTTTATTGATAAGCAGCAGAATCTACATACTCAACTTCAATTCACTTAACATATTTTATTCAACTAAAACAACTTCAAGACAATAATTATTTCACGTAACCAACTTAAAATTCAGCAACTGAAATAAACATCAACAACTAAGCATCAAGCATTCATCCCCCTGAGTGCTATGTATCAGAGTAAAGACACCAACTCGAACTAACAAGGTAACAACTATCCTTCTTGATTACTTGCACGTTACCAACAGAGGGAAACATTCAAACATAAGGGGTGAGATATCAGACAATATAATAAGTCGTATGATAAATAATATATTAAATCAGATCATATAAAATTACCACTTCACAACTTACAAACAACTTTAATCACAACAAAACATCAACATGATATAACTACTAAATTTACAACTTTTAGATAATACTTGTCACAACAAGTCAACAACATAAAGCAACAACAAATCTATCTTCACCAGAACTCAAGATGCAATATCAAATGCGACTCAATTATAATGCACATGCATGTGGTACCATTGGAGTAGAACTCCCATCTTAAAAATCTACCAATAAATAGAGGCATTAACAAGGCATAAGCCTTCTTTGCAGTTTGCCAATCCAGACCATCACAAAGTATACAAATGTATGTCACTCAATGAATACACTATCACATACTCACAACAATCATCATCCATCGCAAGGCATAAGCCCACATCACCATTATTATCAGTAAGTAGAGGTAATTCATCATCATTTAAAATTCCCTGCAACTTCGCATTACCAACAAGAATTCGCAGCAACTTAACAACAATTCAACACTGGCCATACGCCTACAACTTAGCAATATTTTAACACTGGCCATAGGCCTACAATTTGATATTTCAACAACAACAATTAGCGCAACGTTGGCATAAGCCTACAACTTAGTACGTCACAATAACAATAACATATCAACAGTAGTAATTCGACAACAACACCAACCAGAAAACAACATTGATCATAAGCCTAACAATTCGATACCATCTGAAATTCATATTTTTCAGCAAAGTATACAATACACCGCATCAACCAAAATATACTACAAACGCTCCGCGAATTTGTTCGGACAATTCAACTATTTCCGGTGAATTAATCTTCGCTAAATTACCAACATTTTCTACTTTGCACTACTCTTATTAAGTCTATACAGTTACTGCCAGTATAGGTACTACCTGTTACTAATATCTCACTGCCAAACTAGTACCATTACTCTTTGTTATTAAAAATACTACTTGTTACCAACATACACTACCTGTTATCCACTTAATAAATTACTATTAGTTACTACATTGGTCTTCTACCAATTTATTCTACTAATTACTTCTACCGGTAATTCTCTGCTAAATTATTGCAATTGTTATTAATATACTACTCTGCTATATTAATTGAACCATCCTCTGCTAATTATCATCTTTGTGCAAATTTAATTTCTGGAACATCATTGTCATTAACTCTACTGCTACTCTAGATACCAACTAGGTGTTAATCTAACAATCACCTCTGCTAGGTACTAACAAATCTACTACTTGGTTTAAATTAATATAATGGGATACTAATATAATTAATTTATCTAATTATGCAGCTTATTAAATCCATCTCTTCTAAATATTTATTTCCATAAATTAATCCCACTGATAACTCTGCTATATACTGCTACCTAAAATGTCTCTGCTAATTCATACTAATACTGCTACATGAAGGCTCCACTACAACAGCAAGAAGCAAAACAAACAAAATAAAAGGGAGATAACATGTGCCCCTCAGCACCATTGTCCTGCCAATCAGCATGCTCCCTCTTTCAACATTGTGCCAGTCGGCACCCATGTCATGCCCCTCGACATGTTTTTCCAGCCTCCCAGTCTGTTACTGATTACTAACGTTTAATTTTCAGTTTCAGGCCAACCACAAAGAACCACACAACAACGCAACAACTATATCAACATATAATAATTTCTAACAACAAATTCATCGATTGTTTCACTGCAAATTCCTCGGAAAATCTGATTGTGGTAACACCAACTCATAACAACAACAATTACACATACAACAACATTCCCACAACGAAAATTTTATACAGACCAATCCCTGAATAATATTTATCATATACCCTTTTATAGAGTCAGAACCCCACTCTTATCTTGGATTGGAGATCACTTTATTCTACCGATTAAAGTCTCTCGCCCTAGCTTCCAACCTTTGCCTCTTCTCTATAACTTTGTAGCTTCTCACGTACCAAATTCTCCAAGACTTATTCAAATAACCTAATTGCTTATAATTTGCTTAAGCTTATAATAATTAATATTATTATTGGACCTAACTTTCATACTCCACTTTTATTACATACGACCATATAATTAAGCCCAACAATAAATCTTAGAACCATTCTAATGTTATTATTAATATTATTGCTAATATTAATCAACCAAATAACAACTTAGCAACTTAAATAAAAATTTCTCGATATTTCGCAACTTCAACAATTTCAACAACATTCTCAACCATTAATCCATAATTAATTTCATTAAATAATTAATTAAGTTAACTGGCGTTGCAACTCTCCCCACTTAGAATATTTTTGTCCTCGAAAATCTATTCGGTACTACCATTCTTAGTACGAGTTTCGCATCCAACTCGTTGATTTCCAAGTCACGTTTGGAAACACTTCAACTACTACTTTCCTGATAACTCAATAACTCAACACGATTCAAATCAATTACACACACATGCCAATCATTCAACACTTCGTAACACAATCATTACTAGCATCTCAACTACTCCACCATAATCTGACGTATCAACATTTAAAGTAGCAACAACTATGACACACTTATACTTGGATATACATCATTACAATATCCTCTTAACACTCTTTTCAACACCAAAATACATACACAATTTCATCCCCGTATGTCAATTATCAACAAAATATCAACAACTCTACTCATACCGTCGTATCACTCTTATAGTGACATCAACACAACCAACATAATCAACTTCGTCACATTATGGAGTATCATTCCTTACTTAAGGAAATCAACAATAACATCTCAATAGCGATAACAAAATCATTGCAACATCAACTTAACTGCATAACTCAACAAGCGTACCCATAGCTCACCATCAACCAACAGTCCACAATAATCCTCTTATAAAATCCACAAATATTTACTAGCAAACATAGTGCCCTGGCACAACATCTCTATGTCAATAATCCACCAAATCAAGCATGTAGATTAAAACATACAATTCCCATAGGATTCTGATGTTTTAATCCTTCACTTCTAACGAGTCATACGCACATGGCAATTACGCCACA